AGGCTCTGAGGCCTCGAGGCAATAGCTGGGCGGGCTCTTGGCTCCAGACAGGCAGGCAGCCGCGCTCTAATGGCTCCAGACATTCACCTAGCTTACCCCAAGGGTTACATCTTGGATAACAATAGTACAATATCAAAAAAAAAAAAAAATTGACAGTGCATGTGTAGTACTGTGTCAGCTCATCACATGTGTAGATTCGCATAACCACCACTACCATCAAGATGCAGAACCATTCCATCACCACCCACACCCACCTCCTGCTACACCTGCACAGTCACCCCACCACCTCCCCCCAATAACCCCTAACCCCTGGAAATAGCTGGTTTGTTCTCTATCTTTATAATTATGGCATTTGAGAATGTCGTCAAAATGAAATCATACAGTACATGATCTTTTGAGGTTTTTTCACTCAGCTAATGACCTTGAGATCCATTCAAATTGTTGCGTGTATCAATAGTTCATTCCTGTGTATTGCTGAGTAGTATTCCAGCAATCCAGTAGTATAAATGTACAATGGGTTTTTGTGGGGTTTTTTTAACCATTCATCAATTGTAGGATATTTGGTTGTTTCCAGCTTTTAAAGCTGCTTTTAACAATTGTTTACAGGTTTTCATTTGGATATAAGTTTTCACTTCTCAGGGGTAGATGCTCAGGAGTGTTGTTGCTGAGTCATATGGTACTTGCACATTTAGTTTTTTAAGAAACAGCCAGAATGTCTGTGTTATTTTACATTCCCATAAGCAATGTATGAGAGATAGTTTCTCCACATCCTTGCCAACATTTGGGATTATCACAAGTTTTTTTTTTTTTTTTTTTTTTTTTCTTTCTGTCTTTTTTCGTGTCCGGCAACGGATCGCAACCCTCAGTGTTGCCCCCGTACCGGGCCGGGGACCGGCAACGGGATCGCAAGCCCCGGTGTTGCCCCCGCGCCTCGCTCAGCCAGTGAGCGGGAGCCGGTCCGTATTTTAGCCTTTCTGATAGGTGTGCAATGACATCTCATCGTGGTGTTAATTTGCATTTCCCCAATGGCTGGTAATCTTGAACACCTTTTCACGTGCTTAATTGCCATCTGTATAGCCTCTTTGGTGAAATCTCTCTTCATGTCTTTTACCTGTTTCTTTATTGGATTTTTTTTTTTTTTTTTTTTTTTACTGTTGAGTTCTAGAGTTGTCTGTCTATTCTAGACATGAGTCCTTTGTCATATGTGTAGTTTGCAAATATTTTCTCCCAATCTGTAGATTCTCTATTCATCGTAGCTTGTCTTGTCAGTGTTTTTTTTCAGAGAAAGTTTTAAATTTTGATGAAGTCCAACTTATCAATTTTTTTTCCTCTTATGGATTATGCTCTTAGAGTCATGTCCAGGAACTCTTTGCCTAGCCCTAGATCCCAAGTATTTTCTCCTTTTTAAAAAATAAAAGTTTTGTAGTTTTACTTTTTACATTTAAGTTCATAATTCATTTTGAGTTTAATTTTTAGATAAAGAGTGAGATTTAGTTTAAGGTTGTTTTGGTGGAGGTTTTTTGCTTATGCATATTCTATTGCTCCAACACCATTTGTTGAAAAGACTATTCTTTCCCTATTGAATTGCTTTTGTCAAAAAATCAGTTGGCATACTTGTGTGGGGCTACTGCTGGGTTCTCTGCTCTGTTCCATTGATCTATGTGTTTGTCCTTCTACCTGTGCCACACAGTCATGATTACTACAGTTGATATAATAGGTCTTGAAATAACTGATGCCTACTACATTATTCTTCTTTTTCAAAATTATTTTACCTCTTCTAGTTCCTTTGCCTTTCCATTTAAATTTTAGAATGATCGTGTCTATATCTATAAGAAAAAAGAGTTTGCTGGGATTTTGATGTAAATGGAGTTAAACCTATATATCAATTTGGGGAGAATTGGCATCTTTATTTTGTTGAGTCTTCCATTCCATTGACATGGTATGCCTCTTCATTATTTAGATCTTTGTTTTCTTTCATTAGCATTTTGTAGTTTACAGCATGCAAATCCTGTACATGGTAGAGTGTGGTGCTGACAACACCAGGGTAAAGGGTTCAGATCCTCATACTAGCAAGCCTCCAAATAAACCAAAAACAAATCCCGTACATGTTTTGTTAGACTTACACCTAAGTGGCCCTCATAAGGTAACAAGAAAAATGAAATTAGTAGTCAGCACTTTAAAGTGAGAGGTATCTGTATGAACATTTAGATTTACAACAGTGGGAAGATGTAGCCATCCCACGTCTGCACTCCCACGTGGGCGCTGTTGAAGCTGGGCAATGGATGCTCCCATGAGAAGGGATCTCCTGGCACCCCCATCCACTTCCCTTCCTGTGTCACTAGCCTGGCTCCTGTGGACATTGACGTTTCAATTCCTGATTAAGAAGCAGATTTTTAAAATTTGGCCATAATCCTGCCACTTCAGGCAAACCACTATTCATATTTTGAGATTTTTTTCAGTATATGTATATGTTTTTATATAGTTTGAGACATGTTGTATATACAATTCTAATATCATATCCCAAGTCTGGAGGTGAAGGTGGTTGGTTCATTTCCTTGTGTGGTTTGCCACCTCGGTGTCAGTGGTTATGTACCATGGATGGCTCATATGTCCTGGGTTGTGAGAGTGCCCTTCAGAGCACTGTGGCATGAGCATCTCCAGGGGATGCTATGAGTTTCTGCCGTTTCGGACCCATTTTCAAATTAATTTTTCAGTTTTGAGGTTCCATGAATTCAGACTCCAAGCCTGCTCAGTG